AGCTAACTATATGCTTAAAGTGGACAGTCGAGATCTTAGATGAGTGTTATGAAAGTTGAAAATGAAATTTTATGTTTTATTTTTCAGACCCAACATCAAAGAGATTATTGAGATTAACCAAATCAATTTTCATCTCAGCTTTTGTTGCCATGGCGATGGCAATAACCAATTTATATGCGGCAGTAGATATATTCGGTGTTTTCAGTCCCGTCATGATCGTAGATTCCTGGGATTGGTGGATACTCCAGACTTTTCTGCGTATTGAGGAAGTGGCTGCATGTATTCTGGTACTCTCTGTCTTCATTAAGGTATCACCAACAGAAACAGTGCGGGGCTTCATTGCAGAGATGTGTTTCAAAACCAAGCGCTCTAGTTCCGTAGAGCCGTTAACCAACGAGGAAAGTTGCAACCCGACAATGATCTCTAAATCCAATATTGCTTGGTCAGAGAAAATGTAACATCTCAGTTTGCATCTCAGTCTAAAATCTTTTCTTATTGTCACTTTTGGTGGTTACTTGTTATATTCTCAACCCGGTTCTCGTCCTAGTTAAGAATTAAACCACAAAGTTGTGTCTCTGGATAATCTTTTATTCTTCCGCTAAGCATACAAACTACTGATTCAGCAGCGATGCTCTTACAACCTTCACAGGCTACCCCATTTGATAATTTGCGAGATTTCCGTACAGCTAAAACGAAGAAAATTGTTAGAAATTATGTTTACTTCCAATATTTTACAATGATTTGAGAAGTGATAGTAATATTTCGATCTAAATATAGTTCCCAGCTTTAGAGACTTTGAGAGTACACCTGGCACATTAATGTTACATTGTTAATATAGGTTTCGAAATTATATATTTTATTATCATTTTGAATCCAAATATTGATGAATCGCTGGAAAATCAACAAATGAAATAAAATCTTACAATTAACAAATAACAATTAACAATGAATGATTTACAACTGTTAAACGAGCGAACGTGTGCAACAACAGCTCGATTGGAAGACATTTTTGAATTTTATTCACTAGATATGGGTAATGTGATTTGATATTCTAAATTCAACCTGTCTTGGTGTAAGATTTGCTAAATAGCTCTAGTTCTGATTCGCCTGTATACTTTAAATATGCTGAGAATAAAGCAAAAACTTTTCTGGAAGGAATTTTTGATAACCTGGATTCAATGGCTTAAAGAATGAATAACATATCCGTAGCCTATGATGGCATGCAATCCTACTGTAGCCTAGCTAATTTGTTCCCTTCAGTTGAGCAAACAAGCTTTTACGAACGTAATCTTATACCTTGACTGCAATAGCCACATTTGTAGTATCATGGAATGCAGCAATTTGATTGGATTGTACGGTAAAGGATAAGTCTATCATACGTCGCCAGAACGACTGTAAACTTTCTGGCTTCACAGAATTTCTATTGGGGCTCTCATTGGCTGTATTCGCTAGCGTACAATCCAATCAAGTCAATGCATTGACAAACTTTCATGATACAAGAAAGATGACTCTTGCAGTCAAGATATAAGACGTAGTTCGTAATACCTTGACATTGTGACATGAATGGAGATGGGCTACGCAACACAGTATGAAATGGGGGAAATACGCCATGACAGCGGCATTAGCCTACTCATTTTCTATTTCCAACTGTCGAGGGATATTTAATATTCGGGCACTTAGTTAACTATTTTTTTTTATATCAGTCAGTCTGACCTGCATCAAAGAAAAATCATTTTAAAACTTCAATTATCGTTTTAAAACTTGTTCAAACAATACCCAATACCCTTTTCTGCTCCTGTCCCCAAATAACAGACGTGGATATCGA